GTTCAAAAACTTGCTGTTTTTGATGATATGCAAGAAGCTGTGAAACTTGTATGTCACATGAAGCATTTTTCGGCCTTTTGTCAAGGCCCAATTGTTGAGTGCATCATATGCAGAGAAGCACCTTTTGGCAAGGCCACAAAGCTTTTCATAATCTTGTTCCGATTGGATTGTTGCAGCCTGGTCCATGACTTGGATAATTTGACAAAGGGCATTTGTTGATGTGCCTCTTGATCACCACCCAGAACATCTTGCAAGACTTCCAATAGGCAAGGGCAGAAGTGTTTACATTCTGCAGCCTTGGAATCCAGGGATGCAAATTTCTTGTGGGGAGCTGCAGGGTCACATATCATGGACAGCCGGAGGCACTTGATACGTCCTGATTGTATGTGGGCTTGCAGTTCATGATCATCAAATCTGTGCAGGATTGTCTTCTCAGATTTCTATTTTTCACTTTTGTCAAGGGATTTGCTCTGTTGCAGGGACTCCTTCATGTTCATAAACTTTGCCACATTCTCCTGCAGCAGCCACATGGCAACAGTGTGTCCTTTTTCCATTTTGGCAAGAAAATCAAAGACTTCCTTTTCTTCTGGGTTGTGTTTCAGCAATGTCTGGTATTTGCTCCATGCTTTGCTGCTTTCCTGAGGGGTCATCATCTCTTTCAGGCCCTTTGCCCCTTCCATGGCAGTCTCTGCTCTTTCAGCAACCTTGTCCATTTTCAGGCCTCTTGGCAGATATCCTTGTTGTCATCAAAAATGTTTCCCACATTGTTTTTGATCATCCACTCAGCTCTGCCCCTGAAGTGCCTGGCCCCACCTTTGCCCATGTTGGCAAGCCCTTTTGTCAAGGGGGTAGATCAGAACCCTGCCACAATTGCTCCCTCTGTGAAGGACAATGCCCCTTTTAGCAAGGTGATTGGATAGCGGCACCCTAAACCCACGGGCTTGAGCCACCATCCAGTTGGGCATGCATATACATCAAAGCCTCAACTTGCCATGTGTAAGAAGCATGGGTGCCGAACAAAAAGTCAATAGGGCAAGCGCAACCATAATCAATAGCTAAATCAACAGGAAAATCAAGATGAAAATCAATATGAAAATCAATATGAAAATCAATATGAAAATCAATAAAATTGCAAAAACTAATCAAAAAGAACAAATCAATAGCCAATTGATTTTTTCAATAAAAACACATCAAATCAATATCAATAAGAAAACAAGGGTTTCTATTGATTACAATCAATAGCCGATGCACTGGGTATTACACTTGTCCTACTAAGTTGCGATTTTGAGCTGGGGCTGCGAAAGTGCAATACATGCACTACGCTCGTACTACAAAATAGCGGTTTTCAAGAAACGATAGGCCCCCTCCCAAAGCTATTGCGCCAGTTGGGGTTTTGATCGACGAACACATGTATGTAGTGCATTTTGGTCAACAGCTGGCAGTCTGTCACACCTTTCGCTCGTGGTCCTTTTTTGTTCTCGTCGGGTTTAGGGTGATTTTGTGTCACCATGTGTGAGCCTTCCACAGCAAGTTCAAGATCTAAGTTAGGCATAGCCATTTTGTTGGTGCGACATATCACATTCACATTCCCGTTTTTACGTCTGAGAAGCGATGGTCAGCCACAATCAGACCCAGGCAGTTGAAGATTAGTGGGTGACAGTTCCACGTCAACCCATTTAGTACAGCGGCTCCCAAGTCCAGGGATGCGGCGATACGACTTGCAGGAGCTCAGCACTTGGCCAACACCACGGGTCTGCTGGTCACCCCTGGGGGCTTCGTGACACGCAGCGGCTGCCCCGTGCGCCGCCGTGTGGGGGCCGCCTTACGGGAGCTGGCGCCATGCATGATTTAAAGGGGAAGGATAAGAAGGCAACGCGATATGATCGAACATGTTTGCAAGAGATGGTGATGGAGCTTGAGCAGTGGACCGCCAGTGACCAACGGGCCCACTCATAATACAAGTTGGAAGATGCCCTGCATTTTTGGCAATCATAGGTTGCCGTATGTTGCCGTGACTGTAGCCGTAGACATGCAGCGACCATACTCTCAGGGCAAACATTGCTGAGGATGTGATATTTGATAAGACTATGGTCATCCTTGGCAGTCATGAGTCATGCCCATTTGCCAAGGCTCGCACAGTGCCATCCCTATGCCTCACAGGGTGGAGTCAGGGATGGTCATCCAGCTTCCGCGATGGCACCCAGCTCTGTGGCTTGGTCGCGAGGGTGGCCTTGGCATCATCAGGTTGATTTGCCACATGCACCTGTAGCACGGGCGTGCATAATCTTCATTCGCGGTGGAAATGTATTTTGAAGCCTCAATGCGATTTGTCCAGTTTGGAAGGCATTGCCACTTCTAGGATAACCACTTTCAAGTGATCTTTTTTGTATACAGTACATTGGGAGTGTCTCAGCTGAAATCTTTCCATGTTGCATGGCAGCGAGGCTTCTTTTGCGAGCACCAGGACGCAGACGAGGTGCAAGAATTGGGAGGGTGGTACATAGTGGTTTGTGGGGCTTGGGCCTTTGTCTGGAGCGGCTTTATCCGTATTGTACCCCCTGCTAAAAGAAGCCGGCCCCCAAATAAACAAAAACCCTTGGGAAAGCAAAACAACATAGCAGGGATCCCTGGTTCCTTCCTTCCTCGGTCCTCTTCGGACTCTTTTGTCCATGGGCTCCCCCCTGGTCCAGGGCCCCCCAATAAGCCACTTGGGGTCTCTAGCATTGGCCTATGATTGGCGACGCTGTTTTTTTTTTGCGGAAAATAATTTTGCTTATCTACCCGTCAACTGGAGTTGTTAGGTTGTTAAAGCAAAATGGACGTGCTGCAAACTATGGCCCTTATATTTTTGAGGCTCTGCCAAAACTTTACTGGTAAGTCAGGCGTTCGTACATCGGCCATTTTTGGCGAATGGTTTTGAAATCCGGCTGCGCGGAAGGAATGGTTTTTGTCGCACAGCTCAGCGTTGGTTCAGCAAATGTCGCCTTGACGTCCCAGGAGCGCTGTCCCCAATGCAAAGACACCCGCAGCTGGTCCACTCTCTCTGCCACCTTCAGCATGAGCTTCAGCGTGGAAGTGCAGGGTGACCCATCGCAGGAGCTGTTGTTGCCAATGAAACGGCATGCCTTGTCGTACTTTTGGGGATGCCGGCGATGCCCATGATCATGTTGTATGACATAAACATGGTTCAAGGTCCGTGCTTGTTGCTCAAGTGGTCCGATGGCACCAGGTCGAGTTTGCTATTGAAGCCCGCGCCGTGCCTTTCATGAGCATCAGCTCCGACGTGCAGATTTACAGCAGGCTGGAAGAGATCACTGGAACACGCCGGGACTTCGAGGATGAAACTGACATTGATGAAGGGGGACTCTGCGACGATGATGGCCTGGAAGGAAATGGCGCAAGGGACGAGGGAGCGCGGACAGATGACCTTGTGGCTGCAAGGGAGGAAGAACCAAAGGACACTGGAGACAGCGATCGCAGCGCTTGATCTGCACTGGCACTTGAGCTTACATGCTATCACGTGGCACAGTGTGGGGTCACACACCGATTGAGCATGGTTCATGGTTTGGATCATTGGGGTTGTTGGATCAATGGGGCGTTTAACTGCTTTCAGCTGTTGTGCTTGAATTGGTAAGTCCATGTAAGTCCAGCTGAGCAGTCTGGCTTGCCTGACATCGCTAAGCATCAGGTAGTGAGAGGCAAGAACTCTTGGCACGAAACCCGACGTAACTCGGGGTCTTGCTTGTGCGGGCGCGCCTGTTAGAATCCCTGCCCGATCGCGCCATGAGGCACAGAAGACCTGAGCTCCCGGTCTGAGCCGAGCGAGGTGGGGTCAAACGAAACCTCTTAGCAAAACACAAAATCCCTAGGTATGTGCAACGCAAGGAGCAGGGACCTTTTGCCTTCGGCTGAAGAGCAAAACTGACAAAGGGGCGGTCGCTTGGCCTGGGCGAAGAAAGGTATAGTATGTCTTGTAAAGGTTGTAAAGCGGCAGTCAGTGCAGGGATGCCGGGTTCTTAGTTCCATGCAAACCAGTGCATTCCTTTGCCGGCGTTGGACATCATCCAGGGAAACGCGTCTCGTCCAGGATTCCAGGCACTCGCCAGCCTCCAGCGATTCTTGAAGTGAGACGCTAGGAGAGCGAGATATTTCACTCCTTGAGATCCCCAGGATCAAAGTGGCTCGCTGGATTTATTGGTATTAATATGGAGTCCTCCCGGCTCGATTTGGGCGAGGCTTGCTTTACAAGGCTCGATTTGGAAGCAGAAAGCGCAAAACGAAGTGAACACATCGAGCATGGAGGCAGTCGGTTGCGCAGCAGCGCAGGTTCTTTCCAATCACATGGCTGTTGCACACATGTACATAAAGGCCGGGCAGAATTTGCTTGCCACCAATAGCCGCCTCAGTATCCTGGATACCAATTGCGTTACAACGGGAAACTGGGTGTAGTTTGCAGTCCCATCGGGGGGGTTTAAGTTTGAAAAGCTGGTGGCCTGCGGATGACGGCTTGGCCTGCAGTGACTGCAGCTAGATTTGTTCAACGTCCTGCCATGACCGGTGCTAAGCACGCGCGTGACTTTCTGATGCCACACCAGTGGGATGGAATGCGGGCCGCTGCCAACCTTGTGAAACTAGCATGGGTTGTGTGTTTGTTTCTTGCCACATCACTTGGTCATGTGACGACTGCTGGGAGCTAACAGATGCAGAACAGATTGCCCCGCCTCACTTGCAACACTCCAGTAAAGCATGGAAAATGCATCCAGGCGTGAGTGGCTGAGCGATGAGTTGCTCTGTGTGTTCTGTGATTTTGCCAGGGTGTGTGCTCCAAGCTCTGCAGAGAGAGTGTGTTCGGCACGATTGCAATACTATAATACAGCACCACGCTTTGTAATATCCTCAGCGTTCGCACATAATTGCCCATGCCGGTGTTGATCGTGTGTACTCCTGCGTCAAATCCTTCTGCGGGCGTGCGCTTGGTGTTCTATTGCTGCTTCAGACAGGCGTCGCAACGAGTGAATGAGTGGCACTCAGCTTGCAGAGTCACCCGTCGCGGCATGATCTTTTGAAGCATCGGCAAGCAGATTGGCTTGCAAGATTGGCCGTGTGTCGAACAACCGAAGAACTGTGTTTGCAATCACAGACTGAGGGCAGCGCATGCCTTTTCCGCGTGACTTGTTTTGCAAGCTGGCCGTGAGACAAGTTGAGGCCTCGCACCTGAGACTTGAGGAGGCGCTGAAACAGGACGGGCAACATGCCGCCAGGGGACAGTGCCGCAGAGGGAGAACATGCCGTGTCTTAATTTGACCGATAAATGGTTTCATCCGGCACCATTTGATTTTAGATCGCCGAATTGTAAGCTAGTCAATGTTGCTGGTCTCCTTTTTGTAGAGAAGTTTCTCTTTGCACCTCGCCAGGCTCTGTGGAGGGGGTTTAAAAGCATTCTAAGTCATTATCATTTAGTTCGAGCATTTGTGTTGTGCGCAGAATTTGGAGCAGGATCTCATCACTCGGTCCGTCCGCACCGTGGTCATGGACCCGAGTGGTCGAAGCTCATCTCAAAGCTTGAATCCATCCCTGCATGCACATCATTCAGATGCCTTCAGGCATCCTCATGGGTCGACGTGATGTGCCTTGGCCTTTACATGATCTCACATACCTTCGCAGCCACCCCCGGAATTGTATGGGACGTATGTTTCACAAGGCAACCAAAGCAGTTCTTCGGTTTCAGTCGGAGAGGCGGCGATGCATGCACGCTTCTAAGTCCCTCAGGCTCCTGGATCAATGTGCTTCGAGAGCTACCAAGTTGGTGACCGGTCCTCAGCACAGACCTTTGCAGGCAGGTACGCAGCATGTTGCATGCTCAGCATGTTGCATGCTGCTGTGTGGAGAAGGGTTCGCACATTTTTGACAATTGGTGGCTCGGTTGGTGCTTCAGGTTTTGAATGCCTAGTGGCCTGTTGGGGGCCGTCTGCCAGCCTTCAAGCCACCGAGTAAGCTGAAATGTGGCTCGAAATCTGGCAAAGTCTCACTGGAAAGAATGTGCCAGGCAACCTCCAAACAAAGGCTTACTGACGGCAAGGAACTCTCATGGATGCACGGCACGCTACAAGGTCAGCAGCTATTGCGGTGCAGTGGAAGACCTGGTAGCCTGTGCGCTGCGAGCCCTCGAAGAGGCTCCTTTGACTTCAAAAAAAGATGTGAGTTGGGCCAATATCCATTTTGACTTGTACTTAGGCCAATCATGTGACGAGTTCCCACCAGTGCCACCGCCTGCTAAATTTATGACCAGTGGAAGCCACACGCACAGGTTGCCTGTGCACACAACCATTCCGAACACAGGATGTTACATAAACCACGGGGGATTCCGGAAGTCTCAGGAGGGCGGACAACGCTGCTCAGGAGAGCGGCTCTTCAGTGCAGAACTTCCAGGCGTACATGCAGGCCAATGCCGATGGCATGCAGGTCAGGCAGGTCGCTGTTTGCCAAGGCGGGTTGTGTTTTGCCAAGATATATCACGGCACAGCAGAAGTGTGTTCTCTCACTTGCTTCCGAACTTCACCTCGCAAAATGAGTGGAGCCCACAATTAGCCTGCGCGGCTTATATCAGAACTGTCAAGTTCTAGGGAGAGGAAGTTGGCCACAGGGCATTAGAAAAAGAACACGTGCACCCTGCAGCTAGGCCTGCATACCTTTGAATACATTGTTATTTTTACCTACGGCTCAAGCCCCAACATGCAAGCACACAAACACCACAGGTTGGCAAGCAAGGCAAACAGTGTCGCAGCACTTCCTCAAGGCACTGCGATTGCATTCCTTTTGACACGTTTCTGAAACGGCTTCGGGGCGATACAGCAGTTACTACATCAACGAGCTGGTAAGGATACGGGCAGTGTTCTTCTTTGAGACAATTGGAACATTTTGGTGAACACCATGGACAGGGCTTGCATCAGAATTGAATATTAGGGGAGTATGGTATGGCCGGCAGCTGCGCCCTGCGCGCAATGCCAACTGCTTTGCAATGTAGAGACGCAGGTTTCAGGATGCCTTGCATCATCAAGCGAACGTATGTCCAACAAACGGCATTTGAGCGTAAACGGTTGCTGTATTTGCACATGTGAGCATAAACACAAAACAGTATATCTGATATGTCTGCATATCTAGATACATTTATATTATATTTATATACACATATCACATATATATATATATATATGGTATCCCCCCCAGAAACCTACCTTTTTTGTAAGAAATGACTGTATTTGCGATGCTTCTTGCTCTTTTCGGGCCTTGGGAAAAGCAGGAACAAAATTGTGTATGTACTTAATTTTGTAAATCTCCCAGATTCAACATCCAAGATTCCAGGCCAAACTTTTCCAGATAATCTTGAATCCAAGCCCAGATTTAAACCTAGATATATTAAATCTTTAAAATATCCCAGATTCAAGATTCAAGATTCCAGGGCAAACTTTTCAAGGGAATATTGAATCTTGAACCTGGGAGATTGAAGTTCAAATCTTTTAAATCTTTCAGTCTCCCAGATTTAAGATTCAATATTCCAGGCCAAAATCTTCCAGGGAATCTTGAATCATGAATCTGGGGATTTAAATTTCAATCTTTTAAATCTCTCAAGTCTACAACCAGATTCAAGATTCCATGCCAAACTTTTCCAGTGATTCTTGAATCTTGAATCCAAGCCCAGATGCAAGTTGAAATCGTTTAAATCTTTTAAACCCAGGCTCAGATTCAGGATTGCACTTTGCCCGGCCGTGTTTTCATGTCAAAGTGCTCGGCTGTCTTCTATAATTCCTCAACGGCCATGTCTTCCTTCTAAGATCTGTCAACTAGGACTAGGACCAAACTAGGACTGGACTGTTTAACTCTAAATCGTATGGTATTTGGATTCCAAGTATAATATTATATTGGACCGGAAATCCTGTGTATATATATATATTTGTATTATCGATATCTATGCGTGTGTGCAGAGAGCATTTGCCAGTTTCGCCCGCGGACTTGTTCTTCTTGTTTTGCCCAGACATTTGCCCAGACATTTGCTCCACTTTGCTCCACTTTGCTTTAGCCCTTGCCAGGGCGAGCGGCAATACCGGCTCCTTGACTGGCAGAGGGGCTGTGAGAGACTTGCAGTACTTGGACCAAGCTGAGGTTTGTGCTGGATGATGGCTCAGTGCATCGAGAGCTCACGGGTCTTGCTTGTGAAGCTCGGCTATGGCTAGAGAATCATTGGCAATGATGAGCAAGCATGGTGCCGCAAGTTTACACTGCTGGCAGATGTTCACTCACACTCCGTAGGCAACAGCCAACTAAGAAAGCAGAGTTTCTGGGTGATTGAAGAGAAGGCCAAGAGGCAGGCGGATCGACTCCTCCATGTGAGGTGTGGCTGCCGCCATCATTTAGGTGGACCGGCGCGGGCAAGCTGTCATGGCGCTTCGACAAGCCCGTCACTGACCAAGCCTCAGTGGCTGAGCTGTTTTGCCATTTGGGTCGTCCAGCTGAAGTTTGCTGGATCACAGGTGCAGATGAAACTCTCAATGTGCCTTGTCTGACCATGGCCATCCCAAGATGGCAGCATCAGTGATGCAGGCCGCAACAGATGAACGGACCGGGCGCACTTTCTTATGAATCTACAACCTTTCGAGATTAAGGAAGTCCGCGTCAGACGCCAACCAATTAAGTACACTTTCTGGGTTTACATCTAGAGTATAGGGGCAAAGGAATGAGCCCAAGCGGAGCTGAGGTCCAGCCTGTGGTGCAGCGAAGACTTCCGCCAATTGATGGAGGCCAGCGCTGATACACCTGGCTTTGGTGAGTGCCGTGTCAGTAACATGAGGAAGCCCATGATGCAGCAAGACGCTGCCATGAGCAGACTGAGATGGTCTAGACCCGGCCTGGCAAAGATACCCAGGGAGGCTAGAGACTAGAGACATAGGTCGCCTGAGACGTGCCGCCGTCATGATTTCAATCAAACTGGCGGTTGGGTTTTCGATGCTTCTGAACGTGCTGCCTTTGATGCAAGCTGGCCCGAGAAGGAGAGAGCATGCTATAGAAAGCCCAAGCGCGCTGACTTCAGCCAGGTTGATGGCACGCCAAGCAGAGGCAAGCAGCATCATAGAATGCCTTGACTTGTGCCTCACGGGGGCAAGTCAAGTGTTGGACGGTTTGTCGCTTCATGTCCAATGGCGGAAGACACTGGTGGTTCTGCCCCTTCCAGCCTGCAAAGCCTGGAAGTGGAAGATCCTCCTCGACCCCTTCGCAGCACAAGAGGGCCGATCAATCCAATGAATCAATTCTTCATCCAGCAGCTTTGCATGTGTTGGCCTTTTGCTTGGGTGCACTCCGGAACCGGCACTTGTTGACTTACTCCAAGCTCAGTCTTTGGCATTTGTCGCGTGAGTACGTAAGAGGGGGTGAGAAGCAAGAAGGTCGCATGCGCGAATCGGTGGTTGTGAGCGATGTCCATCTTGGCGGGCCGCCTCTGCTGACGCCTCATTCAAACTTGAAAGGCCCAACAAACAATAGAAGTTGCATGGTTTACTTAGCCAGAAACCCGAAGCACCGGCCGAGATTGTCACAAAGTAGCCTCTTGCAGGACTGGGATCAACGCTGAAAATCCATCACAGGTGTGTGTGTGTGTGTGCGCATATGACACTGCGTTGTTTCCCAAATAAACAATCAGTAGGTAAACCAATTAACAAGTCAAGCAATTAAAACAATAAATCAACCAATGCATAACATAACATTACGCTACGCTACGTTGCGCTACATAACATACAATATATACGTAACATCGCATCACATCGCGTCGCATCGCATCCATCCATCCATACATAGATACATACATGCATCCATGCATCCATGCATCCATGCATCCATGCATCCATGCATGCATCCATGCATCCATGCATCCATGCATCCATGCATCCATCCATCCATCCATCCATCCATCCATCCATCCATCCATCCATCCATCCATGCATCCATGCATCCATGCATCCATGCATCCATGCATCCATGCATCCATCCATCCATCCATCCATCCATCCATCCATCCATCCATCCATCCATCCATCCATCCATCCATCCATCCATCCATCCATCCATCCATCCATAGATATGTACATGCATGCATACATGCCTACATACATTACATTACATTACGGTACAGTGCAGTACAGCACAATACATCACATCACATCACATTACATTACATTGTATACATACATAAATACATACATGCACAAACTCCATAAGCAAACAAACACAACATAAATCTCATAATACACACATTATGTTCAATGCTGGATGCTTGCGAAAACCTCACAGCCAAGGACCCGACTCTCCGCAAACTGCATCCTTTCTGCACATGGCAGCAATGTACGGAGCGTCAGATGCCTCTGGCAGGCCTGGCATGAGCAGAAGTCCTTTGCCCGCTGTCAGACTTGGACCCCGCCACCCAAAAACCACCCTACACCGTTGGCATATGAAGCGGAAAGGAAAACCAACGCTGAACATTGGTTTAACTAATTCTTCAGCAATGTGCAGCTGAAGAAAGGGGCGCCCTAGGTCAAGAAAGCAGGACTATCAATGTGCCATTCATAATTGAGAAGGTCAAGGAATAAGAACTGGGTTCTTGCCCCTCATGTCCCCCCCATTTTCCCTATCTCAAGTTTTGGAATGGCAGGTACACAGGCTTTGCCTCGGCGCCCTTCTGCCTGCGGGACTTTCGTCGGGAGGAGCTCCTCAAGTTTGGCCCGCGGGTGGGCGCCGCCTGCGCCATTTGCCTCGCAGGCGCATGTTCAAGGCATGCCCAAAACGGCCCGAAGCAAAGTCAAAAGATATCAACAGCAAATGGGCAGGCAAAGGGGCAAAGCGGCAAAGCGGCAAAGCGGCAAAGGGGCAAAGGGGCAAAGGGGCAAAGGGGCAAAGGGGCAAAGGGGCAAAGGGGCAAAGGGGCAAAGGGGCAAAGGATTGGGGTGTCGGGAGTTTGATAGTTTGGGGCTTGGGTTTGGGCCGGTGGCTGTTTGCATGAGGTTCCTGTGGGCAACGGTTACGTGGGGAGCAACTGTGCTCATCCATGCCCTGAGGCATTTATGTTAACAACCTGTCCCAAGCCTGGCTACAACAGAACATGGCGACCTACTACCAGAAAGGCTGGAAGCCGGTGCCGCCGATGAGTGGAACGGTGAAGCCCCTCCCTTCGAATGAGAGGTTGATGTGGACAGGGTCGAGTTGGGTTGGGTTTGTTCGAGACTGAGCTCAGTTGCATGTTTTGATTCGAGGCTTTGGGATGTGTCCTTCCACTTTCTCCCTTACGTGAAGCTCACCTTTCTTCCTGCTGCTTGTCAGCGAATAGGTCCAAACGTCAAAGGCCGTGTCGGACTGTTGTCAGAGTCATGCTAAACCGTGAAACACGCTTGACGTGCTCGGGTGAAACATAAATTGCACCTCCTTGCTCAGGACATTTTTGCTGGAGTGTGTCAAGTGACTGCGGTGATTCGATTTTTGGTGGTTCCGGGGCCAATGTCGCTTCGATGGATAGTTTTGAGCTGCTGGACTGCAATGAATTGCTTTCCCTATCTGCGCTTGGAGTTACGATAGGGCCACGTGCTTACCGTACTGCTTGCCTCTTTTCTAAGGCCGGTACTTGATTATTTGGGGGCTGTTGTGGTTCTGCCGCGCTGTCACCATCGTTTCAACGCCCCTGCCGAACCCTGATCACACCTGTGTGCCACGGATCACCTTCCCGGACAACGTCTTCTTGGAGACTTGTCCTTGGTGTTCAGCATCTGATCAGTCAGCACATGGGAGCACTTGCAGACTGTTGGCTGCACGGCCACATGCCTGGAATGCTTTGGTTTGCCGAGGAAGCGTGGGCCAACCTTCCCATCGTCCCTTGGTACAATGAGATGACCTGCCAGGACACTGGGGACCAGCGCAGTGTTTGCATTGCCTGCCAGCCAAGGGTCTTGAATCCAGCCAGCCAGGCAGTCAAATGGCTTGAATCCAGTCCACAAAAAATACAATAGAGGGCTGCATGCTTGGCTTGCAGACGGACCCTGGGTAGCGGAATGAGGTTTGGCTAGCTTCCCACTCGAAACTTGGCGTTGTAGAAAGAGAGAGGGGCAGTCCGATGGCCCAGCCTTCAAAATCTTTCAAAGCCCTCAGATGCCGAAGGACGTCTTGTTCTCTGGCCACACTGTTTGCATGACGCTGCCGATGCCCCCTGGATGGCCGTTTTAGCAGTCCTTCGCGCAATGGTTTTGCCGAACTGGTCGCCAAGTTTCCAGGGGGTGATCTGCCCACAGTGACTCCTTCAAGGCCATTTGTTGAAAGAGATTGTCCTTTGCGGGTGGGACCTGAGACTTAGCATCCACCTGTGCATCTAGTATGCATCAAGGACCCTCATAGAACCAAGGCTCACTATGTTCAAGTACGTGCGCCTGGCGCCCTGGTTCCCCTCATCATCATCCAACCGGTGGTGGAGCACCAGCACAGCGGTGAATATTTGTGGAACATTTGTGCTGTGCTTCGGCTTTGGCCTCAGTCGCTTTGTGGGAAGGCAGCAAACAAAGATCATCCAACACTTCCTCGGCCACGGGCCTAGGCTCGCGTAGGTGTACCATGGAGCAGAACGTGTATTTTGAAAGCAGCATGCCAGGTAAGCGTGCGCTGTTAATCTAGACAGGCTTTTAGGAAGCTTTGGCAGGCATAGCCAAAGCTGCACATGCCACAGTGATGCAAGCGCCGTGTCATGGATGTATACTTGCAAATATATCCTCAGCGAGTTGATGGCCGAGAGGTCAGCCAGAATTCCACGCTTGCCGAGGTTACTTCTTCATTGTAGCCACGCATTTTCATTACACTGTGGACGTGATCATGGGTGCCGTGCTGTCGCTTCTTGTGTTCAACTATTACCACTATGCCGCAAAGGCAGTAGCCTCAGCTCTGTACAAAGGGATGCGGCTTCATAGCGGTTTATAGCATTCTTCGCCACGCCTGCTCCTCCATCAAGAACACATTGTCCGGTGCGCAGGTGGCAACACTCAGTCGACGTCCGAGTCGTCTTTGCATTATCCCGTTTTTGAGATGGTTTGAGAAGCACTCCAAGGCAGGGTTGCCCACTGGCAACAGGCTCCAAACAGAAGGTGTTGCTGCTTGGAACGACATGAATCCGCGAAGCTTGGCTGTGCCATGCAGACGGCATCTTGAGTCTGGGGAGCAATCGTTTCACTCCGGCAGGATTTGCACCATTGGAGGCAACGTGCGGCCGCTTGCATGCAAGTGCCGCAGGTGCTACAGTCTGTTCACCCTTGCCCCAAGAAGCAGATGCAATAATGCAGTTTGTTGCGGTAGTCAGAGCTTTCTGCTTGGATGTGGCAGATCTCACCCTGTGAATTTGTTTGCACAGTCAAGTATCCAAGTAATTACCACAGATTGTCGGGTGCTAGCATGCAAGAACGGAACTTGCTTACTGAGTCCCCGGGCTTGCTGCAAGTCGAAGCGGAGGAAGAGTTCTGAGTGCTGCTAGTCTGAGTCGAGAATGCGTTGTGCCTATCATCCGTTTATGGACGGTGAGCAAGGCTTGCTCCAAAGACCCATGATGACGCCCTCGGTGTTTGGCCAGGGCTCATGAGCTGAGCCATGGCCAACGCATTGAAAAGAGGCGTTAAGACATTTTGCCAATTCCCGCTGCATTGCGCATGAATCGGCTGCCAAATGTGGCTCATCGGACACCCTGCGTGGCTCATCTGCCAAATGTTGAACGCACTGGCCACTGAGGCCTCGAAGTTCACAGCCTTGCCCTTAAGCCGATGGATAGGGCATTGCCTGCAAGCTTGGAGTCACTTCAATCCATGGAGTGGGGTTGTCACTGAGGGGTGACAGGGTCACACACACACAAAGCATTTGTTCAGGGAGCGCTCGCAGCCTGGCTTGCGAGGAGTCGCGCGCTTTGCTGTGGGCATCCGGGGGCCATGAGGGATCATGAAGGTAAGAGGAGCGTGTGTTGTCCATCCAAAGTTGGAATACACCAAGTTGTGGCGCCCTTGAACGTAGCTTCTTGCCCGCAGGCATGCTGCCTTCGTCTTTTCATAGTACTTGGCTTCATGCGGCTTTAGTGTTTCTGGGTGACAGCTTTACCATCATTTGCTCCCAACTTGGCGTTGGTAGGAGAAAGCGCGAGACTGGAGGACCCTGCGTGCAGCACTCTCAGGGCAACGGTTTGCAAGCCTCACTCGGCCAAGCCATCACTTGGGAAAGCGGGCAGCTTCCTCACAGGAGCAGGCTGCAGACGCAATGTCCTTTCCGCAGAAGGCAGGCAGTGCAGAACGAGCGTCATGCTAGCCAATTGAAACAGAAAGTTGTCGGCCGTTGTTGGCTTTACTGTTTGTAGCTGTTGGTGTTGCTGTGTTCGTTGCGCCTGCAAGCAGTATTTGTAGTGTATTTGTGGGGCTGACTTTTTCTGTCCATTCACGCGTCACCATCACTGTTTCGCTGTCGTGGTGGTGCTCATGCATGGTGGGGTGTGTGTGGAAGGGGGGTCATCTGTGGTGAGGCGGTCTTCGGTGCACGTGGTCAAGCGGTCTGCTGTGCACGTTGTTGTTTTTTGCTTGGGTTCTTCCACACCACGCATCAGAAGCCGCAAGTGTGTTCGAGTTGGATGGAAATCACGAAGGTTCGCAGTACGATCGTTATCTTTACAAACGTCGCATGATTCCAGCAGTGATTCAGCTAGATTAGTCGAATGACCTTGACAGTTTTTTGGGCACCCACCCGCCCCAATCCACCCACCCGCGTGAGTTGTGGCTTGCATGAACGTCGAAGCTTACACCCCCCCCACCCACCCGCGTGAGTTGGCTCGCGTGAACGTCGAAGCTTACCAACCCCCCCCCATCCCCCCCCAATCCACCCACCCGCATGAGTTGGTTCGCGTGAACGCGAAGCTTACCACAACCCCCCCCCCCCACCCACCCGCGTGCGTTGGCGCGCGTGAACGTCTCCCCCCCCCCCCCTGCGTGCGCCGTTGACCGGACATCGTGCGCGGATGACCGGAAAACACGTGCGCAGAATGCAAAATGTCCCGTTTTCGATCACGTGCGCAGATAACCGGTCTTCACGTGCGCAGATAACCCCACTGCCGTGTGTGTGATGCGGAGGCGTGGGCATTGTCCCTTGTTGCCGCCATGTGCGCCATGGCCTCGGCGCAGACTGCGCTGGCTGAAATATTGTTTCTTGAGGGCCTATGGGGGCTGCCTCAGAGCTTAGGAGCCCTTTTGCTAACCAAGGTCGCTTTTGCAGGACCGCAAGTTGAGTGTTGGCCTCGGCTGTTCGTTTCTCTTGCTTGCTCTGTCATGCGCCCCAGCACGAGACTTGCAGGGATGGCAGGGGCAGCGTTGGCCCAGGCTTGGCCAGACAAATCTTGGTGCAGCTCCAGCTTTGGCCTTAGCTAATGGAGCTTGTAGCCGCTTGCCACAAGCTGTTTGACAGCAACGCATATTAACACTTTTCAGCAGTTTGGGCAGAGAGGTTCTGCGGGCAGGGCGGTCAGCCGGAATTTCTTTTCTGCAAGGCGTTCGCCCGTTCCAGCGGCACAAGTGGCTCCGGTGCAAGGGTCAACAAGGACCCAGTCTCGTGTTGCCCTCAGGGAGCACAAAGACGTTTCATAACCCCCAATCGATTTGCTCAGGCTCCTCCAATACGCATTGCCCTTGGAAGAGACCCTTGGGGCAGACAAGGCTGGGTTCAATCCTGCAACTTGCAGGTCGTAACGCTGCTACCTGCATACCCGCTAGCAGGTGAAGCCGATCCGCCAGCTCCAAGCAAGCTTTGAAGAGTCGATTTCTTGGAGCTTCAGGATGCAGCGTTGGTTGCTTGAGAGGGGTCAGTCCCATGTGAACAAGTCAGCAGCAAGAGGGGGCAGTGCTTGCTGCTGACCTCATGTGACATTATCTCAACCGCTTCTGCAGAAAGTAAGAGATGCACATGTTTCTCTGAATATGCAGCATATTAGCCAGATCATGCGGTTCATGATGGATCACGTTGAGCTGAGCCTGTCCAAGCTGCAAGGTCGCGGCTTTTCGTGACCCAGCGCATCTTCGACAAAGCGCGAGGTTTCGGCCTGAAAGGCTTCAGGTCCTGTGGCTGTGCGGCGAGCGTGCGTTTGGGTGTTTGGGTGGGCGGGTGGGTGGGTGCATGGCACGCATGCATGCATGCATGTATGTATGTATTTATGTATGTAATGTATGTAATGTATGTAATGTATGTAATGTATGTAATGTATGTAATGTATGTAATGTATGTATGTAATGTCATGTCCTGTCATATCATGTCATGCAATGTAATAGAATGCAATGTAACGCAATGTAATGTAATGTAATGTTCTGTAATGTACCGTACTGTAAGTAATCCCCGAGCTGTGTGTGGGACCGGGTTCCCGGGTGCCGCCGCAAGGCTTGGCCGCGTGCGGCTACTGGCGCGCCAGAGGCAGACCAACCCACACACCCTCCCCCACCCACCTTCAATGGGGCGCCCTCCAGCTGAAGGCACGCGCGCGCCATGGCTTTGCCTTCCGGCGCTCCCGCCTCTGTCGTTGGGCGTGCTCGCCTTCGGTCTTTCTTCATTTGGCGTGCTCGCTTTCGGTCTTTCTTTCTTTGGCGCGCTCGCCTTCCGTCTTGAATCGGTTGGCGTGCTCGCCTTCGGTCATTCTTCGATTGGCGTGCTCGCCTTGGGTCTTTCTTTATTTGCCGTGCTCGCCTTCCGTTTTTCTTTGATTGGCGTGCTCGCCTTCGGTCATTCTTCGATTGGCGTGCTCGCCTTGGGTCTTTCTTTCTTTGCCGTGCTCGCCTTCCGTTTTTCTTTGATTGGCGTGCTCGCCTTCGGTCGTTCTTCGATTGGCGTGCTCGCCTTCCGTCTTTCTTTCTTTGGCGTGCTTGCCTTCGGTCTTTCTTCTTTCTTCGGCGTGTTCGCCTTCGGTTGTTCGGCGTGCTCGCCCATGCGTTCAGGCTCTTCCCCAACCCTGGCGTGTTTGTCGGAGTTTGCTCGACTGGATACCTCAATCTGATGGTTGATTTTGTTTTCTTCTTGTTTTTTTCCCCTTTTCTCTCGTCTCCTTGCTTGTTTCCCTTCCTGGACTTCCTGGACGAAGGTCAGATCGGCGGGGGCAGCCCCGTCAGGGCTGGAGACCTGCCCCTGCCGTTTCCTTGTTTCTCTTTTTTTTCTCCCTCTCTTCTCCTCCTTTTCTCTTTCTTTTTGTTTTTCCTTTTTCTTTGCTGCTTCCTGCTTCTTGCCTCCTTTCTGGGACTAAGGTGCGGCCGACAGGGGCAGGCCCGTCTGGGCTGGCTGTTTTTGCCTGCCCCTGCCGTCTCTTTTCTGTTTTTTTTTCTCCTTTTTTTCTTCTTCCTCCCTGTTGTTTGCTTCCTTTTCTGCCCAGTTCCCTTGCTAAGGTGCGGACTGAGGTGCGTTCTAACGGGGCGTGCGCGCCTTTTCTTTCGCTGTCTCCGCCGACGTCAGTTGCCAGTGACCCCCTTTCGAGAGTTTCAAGCCGGGGTTTCCAGCTGGGGCTTCCGCCTCTTGGCCACTTCTTGTTTCGTCGTTTTCGTTTTTCGTTTGTTGTATGTGTGTAATGTAATGTAACGTAATGAAACGTAATGACATGTGATGTAACGTAATGTAATGTAGTGTAATGTATGTATGAATGTAATGTAGTGTAGTGTAGTGTAGTGTAGTGTAATGTATGTATGTATGTATGTATGTATGTAATGTATGTATTGTATTGTATTGTATTGTATTGTATTGTATTGTATTGTATGTATGTATGTATGTATGTGTGTATGTATGTATGTATGTGGGGCCCAAATGTATGTATGTATGTATGCATGCATGTATGTATCTACGTATGTATGTATGTATGTATGTATTGTAATGTAATGTAATGTAATGTAATGTAATGTAATGTAATGTAATGTAATGTATGTAATGTATGTATGTATGTATGTATGTATGTATGTATGTATGTATGTATGTATGTATGTATGTATGTATGTATGTATGTATGTATGTGGGCCCCCACGTATGCATGTATGTATCGTAATGTAACGTAACGTAACGTAATGTAATGTATGTATGCATGTATGTTGTATGTATGTAATGTATGTATGTTATGTTATGTTATGTTATGTTAGTATGTATGTATGTATGGTATGTTATGGTATGTTATGTATGTATGTATGGGGTGGTGTGGTATGGTATGGTATGGTTTTGTATGATATGTATGTATGTATGTAATGTAATGTAATGTAATGTAATGTATTGTATTGTAATGTAATGTAATGTATGTATGGAATGTATGTATGTATGTATGTAATGTAATGTAATGTAATGTAATGTAATGTAATGTAATGTAATGTAATGTGATGTATGTGTATGTATGTATGTAATGTATGTATGTATGTATGTATGTATGTATGTATGTATGTATGTATGTATGTATGTATGTATGTATGTATGTATGTATGTATGTA